TGTATAAGTATAGTATATTCTAATAGTATTAAAAATCCGTTAGTAAAAGTCTCTTTTACTTACGAAATTTGACCGTCAATATAACCAAGTATCAGTACATAAAAAATATTTTGTGGTGATAATATGGGTGGTATATATATATATATATATGTATATGTATATATGTATATATGTATATATGTAAGTATGTTATGAAAAGGGATTAGCTTACACCAATATAAAACTTTTTAATTTTATATTTTTTTAAGCATTGATTTCAATAGATCCAAAGAATGAAATTAAATCACTTTTACTTATTTCTCTCATCCCTTGAAAAAGTAAAAATGTGTAAAACTTTTTTTATGTAACTTGATCCCTCCCTTATATATATAATGGTATACTTAGGAGAACTTAACCTATTGATTTCTATAAATTAGTAATTTAATACTCGTACTTATCTCATCTTTATCATAATTTATAATTTAATAGATACAATTAAATTATCTTACTTTCTATCTCTAAAAATACAACACATAAATTTTCAAAAGAAATTAAAGTGAAACAATTATTATGTATTAAAGCAAATACCATATTTATTTGATTAGTGAACTTTCAATCAAATTTAGTATTTGATTGACCTAACTAAGAAAGTCATTGAAATGTTTTAAGTTAACATATGATTATGAGAAAAAAATCATTGAAAATGAAAACCAATTATTTATTTTAAGGTTTCATTTTTTTTTAATTAGAAAAGTTGTCCAAAATATTTCTCAGATACAATTTTTTATTGACATTTTTTGGAGAAATTGTAATATGAAAATTTAACAAATTTAATATAATTTAACTAGATGAGAAAAAGGAATTGTTTTGACACCTATTTGGCAATATGTTTTTAGTATGTGCAATTGTTTGAATTGAAATATAAAAATTAGAATACAAATATTGTAAAAAAAGAAAATGCATGATAAAATGTTGAATATAAAATTATATTGAATCAATGTTTTTGAATTATTTGGTGAAAATAAGTATATCACTTACCTTAAACCTTGTATAACTTGTTATATATCATAAAATTGAAAATAAAGAGTTACTTATGTCTTTTAACAATTTCCATTAATAATAAAATTTATTTAATTGTTTATTATGTATCATGTTGGATATTAAATAGCAAAATTGTCTAAGTTATTATTTTTAAAATTTTTAAATTATCAACCAATAATGCATATATTAGAAAATAAACATTAAACAGGCCACATATTTCTTATTTAATTCTTTTATTCAATAGCAATTGAATTAATCATGACCAAATAGTTAATCATGACAAAATTGTTGACAAAAGGCATCCATTAATGGCATAAGTGAAAGCAATTAACATCTTAATTCAGAAATTATGCTATTGTATAAAAAAAATTTATGTTGTTGATTCATGCAAAGCAAATTAAAATATATATATATATATATATTAGAATAAAATCATATATATTAAACATAAATAAACATAATGTTTGAAAAAAACTACAAGTGAAAGGCAAAATTGTAAAGCAAAAGTAGAAAAAAAATTCCATGTTTTCTTCCCTATTTCATGGAATGTGAATTTTTATTTTGTTGTATCATAAAAATTTTAGATATAATATTTTGAAATCAAAGAGAGATTCATGCCACTATAAAATTAAAGCTAATAGAAAAGTAAATGACTTAACATCATTAAGAATGAATAAATTATAAATAGAGTTTAATTGAATATGCATAAAAAAATAAACAAAAAAGAAGTAATACAAAATATGATAAAGTAAAAACATTTATAAGTTGAAAAAAAGGTAAACAAAAGAGAAACAATACCTAAATTAAAAATAATATATTTTTATTGTTAACAGTGATTGAAAAACTAAATTAAACTAAAAATAATTAAAAATAAAAATAATTGGTTGTTGTATAAATGAGTCAATGGATTTTTAGTAGAGATTTACCTAATCACAACTAAACAAATGCATTTGGAGGGTTTTGATGAATGTTTGAACAATCAAATGTATTTGGAGGGTTTTGATGAATCTTTTGAACAATCTTAGTATAAGATGATTCTCTATTTATACTAGGAAAACTTTTGTAAAATTTGGAGTAATTTAACCAGATCAATTATAATGGGTTATTTAATTATCAGCATGTTTTTAGCTTTTATTTTGAAAAGTTTACATTTTTATGCTTTAAAAACCTTTTATTAGGAGTAAATTATGCCTTTAAATTAAAATGTTTTATATGGTAATTAATCACTTGTAGTATGATTCCTAAAAAAAAAGACACTTATATAGTATATAGCAAAAAAAATATGTTTAAAAATAATTAAGCTTTTATTTTTATTTGAATTGTTGATATTAAATGATTTATATATTTATTAACAATGGATTGGCAATGAAAACCTATTCATATCTCAAAAAGTAGAATTGAATATTGGAAAGTAAATATTTTTATACAAGTGTAATTCAAAGTTGAATATTTATAATTGAAAAAAGTCTTAACAAAATTATTCTATATATTAATGATGACAATTAAACTTTTATTACCTTCTTAATAAATTTGATTGAAAGTGATTTAAGACAAAAAAATTTTATTTAATTTATTTTTTTGAATTGTTAAAATGCATTTATTAAAGAACATATATCAATTTTTTAGATTGTCCACATATTCAAAATGTAGACTATCCACATCAAATTATTTCTTGTTTGTTAGAAGCTTTGATTTTTTATATATTTATATAAGATATAAGATCTACTATTGATATGTAACCAATGTGAACACAAGGTGCAATTTAATTAATTTTAAAATTTAATGAGTTACAAACAAAATTTTATTTATTTTTCAATAAGATTATATTTTCTATTAAATAATAATTTTTTACAATCAAGCATTTCTCATTATAAAATATGATATAATTATTACATCTATAATAAATCAATAAAGCTAACAAACTAATAAGCTGATATCAAGTTAAACCAAAACAACACTTGTTACGAAAAATTTGAAATAAAGCCTTTTGAACATTGAAACAAGACTTCATTGACACTATTTAAGTCTTACCTTTTGTAAAAGTTTTCAGCATAGTTCTCTCTCTATTTCTGTGTTTGAATGTGTTTTTCATATAAAAAAGATGTGAAAATTTAAATATTAAAATATTTGAAAATATAATATTATTTTATTAATGTGATGTAGATATGGGATTGATTTAAAATTTTACTTGTATGATGGTATGCATTATAAGTATGCACAAGCTGGATTGTAGGAGTCGAGCCAAACATGACCGTTTTATTTAGTCTATATTATTAAATTATTCTTGAAATTTTAAAAGATATTTTTATTAACATTTTTAACTATATTAAAAAATAAAATTTAAATAAAATAATAATATATGATAAAATATTTTTATAAACTGGATTTGAGTTTGAAAATATTTATCCACGATCAACCCGCCACCTTGGCTGGGTCCCGTAGACAGATAGTATGCATAGACCATTGAAGACATCACGCAATTAACCTACCCGTAGTAAATGGTTTTGGCCGTTTTTATTGACCTAAGAAAAGAAAACTGGGACACTTTTAATTAATCTCCTTCTCTGCTTTTCTGTTAAAACCATATTCGAACATTTGAAAAGCTGGAAATTTAGCTCAAATAAATTGTGGAAAACTGTCATATGAAACCAATAAATAATCGCTTGACTTTGGTGTTTACATGTTAATTAATAAAACTGCGTAAACAAAAACGTTTTTTTTTTGCCACCAAAGAGAAATTAAACGATCAAAAGCAATCAAATTAAGATACGAAATGAAACAAAGATGAAAATTACGAGAAAAGGACTGGAGGAGATTGTGCCGAAACCATAGCTAGGACAGCTATCCTCCAATACAATTTCTTTTGAGTCCAATAAAATTTTCCAGATTGTTGTGGAAAGCTTTAAGTTAATGAATTAATGATGTATATGTGCTTAACAAGCACCTAAGGATCATTTTTGCTGTCAATTAAATATTAATTTATATGATATGTATGTTGATTAAATTTTTAAAAATTACAAGTTCACGAGGATTTAAATGCCTTATGTACTTTTCAAATGAATTAATTAGACAGAGATCAAAATATTAAAAATAGATTAGGGATTTAAAAAAATTATTTTTACTTTTGACTTCTGTGTATTTGTATACATACATTCAAAAATAGCAACTATCATAAATTTTTTTTTTCTTTTGATAAAGAACAGCTAACAATTAATCATCATGGAGTTGATATGAAGACATAATCAATGGTGTCTTAATGGGGATAAAAGTGATACAGCTCTGACCTTATATGCACGGCAGTTTTGCACTCTTTAATAAACAACTTTTTCATGATATGAAAATGAACGATTAATAATGAGACGTTTTCAAGAAACAAACCAAGATCAGATACAATATTGAATCTGCCTATAATATTTAATTTAATTATTTTTTTATAACACAGTTAAGAGGTATATTTAAATTTTGGTTGAACTTAACTTTTACTCTATTATTTTAAAAATATATTTTCTTATATTAATTTAATGCATTCAAATTTTAAATCAAAAAAATTCATGATATCTTTATTTCTTTTCAAAGATTTTATGTAAAATTGGAAATGAAAAAAAAGTCAATTTGAACCGTCAATTAGGAAGCAAGGAATCTTCGATTTAAAATTTAATTAAATCAACTAATGCAATTATTTTAAAATTTTAATATTTAATAAATCTAAAATTTAAATTTTAGTATTTTCACCTTTCTTCACTCTCCCAGCCTACTTGATCTACTTTATCTCCAATGGTAGGGAAAAACGTTTCCATTATTTTAGAGTCAAACTAATCATGGTTCCTATTTTTCGAAGTAAGAGATTGGATCCAACCGCAAATGAAACGGTGAAAAGAATCCATCCAAAGATTTCACTATTATTGTCTCTAAGAAAATAAATTAATTAATTAATTAAACTTCTCCACCATGGATGTGGAGCTCTTTGCCTTTCTATCTCTTTCCGTCGTTATATAAGCTCTGCTGGACAGACAACTTTTCCCGCACTCCTCGTGCTTTTCTCCTAACAGTTTGAGCAGGAAAAGTAACGAAACCCAAGATATGGGTTTAGTCTTCAGAGCCCTGCTCTTCCGGTTCGCCCTGTTTTTGTTTCTGTTTTTACACCACTCAGCAACAAAAGCTGAGGATTTCAATGCCATAAATAATAATGCCAATTCCAACAGTTCCACAGCCAGAAGTTTAGCTTCTAACTGCAACTGGTTCCGAGGGAAATGGGTATATGACCCTTCATATCCTCTCTACGACCCCACCAAATGTCCCTTCATAGATGGAGAATTCGACTGCCAAAAATATGGCCGACCTGATAACATGTATCTCAAGTACAGATGGCAACCCTTTTCCTGTAGCCTCCCAAGGTCAGAGTCATTTCCCCAGAGATGATCCATTAATTCATACCATATAAGAGGAGATAAACGGTCAAAATGTTTTGAATTGCAGGTTCAATGGGCTGTATTTCTTGGAGAAATGGAGAGGAAAGAGGATCATGTTCGTGGGCGACTCACTCAGCTTGAACCAATTCCAGTCTTTAACATGTATGATTCGAGCCTGGGTTCCAAATTCCAAAATTTCATACATCAAAAGAGATGGTCTTATTTCAGTTATCTTTCAGGTCAGTGGGATTTTAGACTTTTGATTCTTGCTTGCTAATTTTCTGTCTGAAGTCTCTCTCTCTCTCTCTCTCTCTCTCTCTCTCTCTCTCTATCTTTTCCTTTTGTTTTCCCTTTTACCCTTGAAAATAATGATTGCTTTGAATCTGTGCATGCATGTCATGTCCCTTTGTTTTTCAATCCTTTGAGAAAGTGGAGAAATGCCCCTTTGTTTTTGCTAGTTGCAGCAGAACAGTATCATCACCGCTTTTGGTGGATTCAAAATTTCAAATCCTTTATGGTGCATAATTGGTTGGAAAGAAAATGATAATCCTTTTCAAAATACAAAATTTAATTAGCATAGTAATCCATATAAATTGAAGTTATGCTCAAATAACTCTGGTTGAAGTTCTCTAATATAAAACTGGGTTTTGTTTGCTGAAAATCAAAATGCCTGAGCCATGGAGGCTGGAATGTGGTAATTTGGTTTGTGTTCTTTAAAAGTGGAGCGTGATTGGTGGACGCCTTGCTTTTGCGGGGAACATGTCAGGCTCTTATATTTATGTGGTTATTTATGTGGTTATCACTGACTATCATACATGTTCGAAGTTTTAAATATAAAAAATTATAAATATCAAAATGCTGCACTTTTACTCTCAGTAAAATCCTTGCTGGCACTTTAACTGTCGGTTCAAATTGATTTTTTAAGTTTAACTGTTAAAGCGTCTATACGGGAAATGAGTCGGATTGGATTTTCTTTCAACGACTGGATTTGGTTTATAATAAATTGGATAATTTGTATATTTATATAATTTAAAATATTAATAATTTTTATATTTTTATATTATATTTTATATAAAAATTATATATTATAATTTATGTTTTTACAAAAAATAAAAAATATATTTTTTATTTTTATTAAATTTATATTTAATTTTTGATAAAATTTTAAAATATACCATCTTTATATATTGGATTATAATATGCCACATTTTTGATAAATTATCTTTTATATATTGGTTTATAATATGCCATATTTAATTTTAAAAATTTATAATTTATATTTTATCCCGAACTTGTTTACTTCTCACCACATCACACCAAGACCAAATTCTATTATTAAATAGTTAGTGCAAAGAATTAAGTCCAATTTTGTTATTATAATATAAATGAATATGAAAATTTGTCATTATACTTTAGCTACATTGATTTTTATCATTATAATTTTAATTTTGTTAATTTTTAAACTTAAAATAATTGAATTCATGAAAATTTGTCAGTTGCATGAAATATTTCCATAATTTTATTTAAAAATCATTGAAATTAAAAGTATAAGGACAAAATTCAATAGAATTAAATATTTAAGTAAATTTAACTATACAAATTTGATCTAAATCTTACAGTAATCTTGGAATTTAGAAAGAATCTAAAGTCTAACTTTTTGGTGGTACGATCCAAATTGACAAAATAATTTGTATGGTGCTAATTTGTTTGATTTGCTGACTTGTAAGTCAAAACTGGCCGAATGGACAAGCACAAGACAAAACACCTGCATGTTTCAAGTTTCAACTGTGAAGGGACCAATCGTGAGTTGTAATAGGGCAGATTTGAGTTCTGTGCTTACACGGCTTTCTTACGAGTAATTAATTTCTGCTTAATTTGTGATAAATTTGGACCACCTTTTCTAATTAGAGATGATAAGTAATATTTTCCAAATTTGTTGAACCATCAGTCATGCAACATTATAATTTTTTTTTTTATAAAACTCATATATAGTGATTAACTTAGGCAATAAGAAGAGGAGCTTTTAAATTAGAGTTCGATTTTCATAGAAAATATTTTGAAAATAAAATATTGAATATAAATGCTCGATTTAAGAGAGTATAACCTTAAAATCTTCCGAGAAAGAGCATACAAAAACTGCAGATGCCCCGAGTGTATTATAAAAAATACTTTATTATGTTGTTTTTGTGAGTTTCATAAATGTAAAATGAAAAATCATAATATGAGAAAATATGGTATTACAAATGTCAAATTTTTTAGGTATATTTTGTCTCCGCCATTTATGGTCTGCAATAGGATGAATTGAATAGTCACATATACAACAAATCCATTATTTGACTTGTCAATAATAATGTGCTCTGTTAGTCGAATTTTTTTTTTTTAATGATTAGAGAATAAATCTTGATAATTCCAAATATATAAAAAAAAAAAAAAACCTTTTTTGACTTCAATTTGTATTAATAAAATCAAACTACTCAACACTCGCTAATCATGAGCTGCAAACTAATGTTTCATATACATTATTTCTGTGGGGAATCAGAAATAATGTATGAGAGACTTGATGTATTGATGAAAATAAGATGGAAAGAATTCAGAACTTGTAGCATGTTCAAGTAAGTAGAGAGTGTTTTGGACTAAATTCTAAAATTTCTAATTGTAGAGATGTTAATCAAGAATTGTAGCACTTCAATTGTGTTGATTTATCCAATCAATTTGTTTCTTCTTTGAGTTCACATTTCATGTTTTGAATCTCAATCGATGCCATTGGAAATCTTTTGTAAGTGAAAGAATACCTTTTTAAAGGTTAGAATTTATTTGAAACGAAAGTAGTCGTACAAATGTCCATCAGAGAGGGTATGCCTCTTTGTATTTTTGTTTCAAAATACTTTTCAGATATGATATCCGGTCATCCAAATGTCTTAACGTATAATTGAAATAAAAAATATTTTTCAAATCAAATTCGAAGTCCTGTACATAAGCATTCCATGTCCCATTTTAATAAGATAATATATATCATTTAGAATATATTTAAAAAATAAAAAATTAATTAAAAAATTAAATATATATTATCTTATTATTTTCACTTATAAAATCAAAAAATTTCGACTAGTATATCGAATAATTTATATATATTCATATTTTCAGGATTACGGTGTGAAGATATTGCTTTACAGAACACCATACCTAGTTGACCTAGCGAATGAGAAGTTCGGAAGAGTGTTGAAGCTGGACTCCATTAGGGGCGGTGATGCATGGAAAGGCATGGATATGCTGATCTTTAACACGTGGCATTGGTGGACCCACACTGGAAGAACCCAACCGTAAGATCAATTTCATTTTTCACTTCCACAACCACATATGTTCTTGGACTAGGTTCATGTCACACCCAGTGGGCCTTCCTATTTTAAACCCAAACTCCACTTTTATCTGCTTTTTCTATTTATATATGCTAATATTTTGCTTTTTATTACTTTTAACCCTATTTTAAAATTAAAATTAAAAATTATTAGTACGGATGAAATAATGTCTTTATATGGGATTGAATCTCACCTGTGAATTCGTGATTGAATCATTTCGAATCAGATTAATTTGAGTTGAAAAGGTTTAGATTGTTTTGAGTTAGCTTATTTAGAGTTTGAATTATTTTGAATAAAAAATTATCAAAATTTAAAATTAAGTTAAATTAATATTATATTATATTATATTATTATTTTAGTTATTTAAGTTTAAATTATTTCATGTTTAGATTAATTTAGATTGAATGGAATAAATTTAGATTGTTAATTGATTTTTTTTTATCAAAGTAAGTTGAATTGCATTCAAATCGGAAGGAATTGAACAAATATTTAGAGTTGAATCAATCTTGCCAGCTCTCGTCCGAGCCTAAAATTTTATGCAATTTATTACTGCACTTAAGATGCCTCTAGACTTGTTTAAAAGTTAGGTTATCTATCTAACCTTAAGAGTTCGATTGAGTTTTGAAAGAATTTATATAAAAAAATTAAAATTCGTTAAATAAATTTATATGTAATTTTTAAATTTGTTTAAATTTTATATCTAACCATAGATAAAAAATTTAAAACTCAAACCCAATTTGATTTGATTTAAATTCATATATATATAAAATTTTAAATTATATATACGAATTATATAAAAATTAATTCACATATATATATAAATTATATATTTATTAAATTTAATTTTTAATTTTATATAATTTTTAATTTTAATTTTAATTTATATATATATGAATTGAATATAATCTTATTAAACTTAATTTAATCATATTTTTTATTTTTTATTATACAAATTAAGTTTAATAGGTAACTTAGATTTTATTTTTCTAATTTAAGTCATATTTCAAAAAATTTTAAGACTCAAAATTTTAAATCAAATTAAATTTAAATAAATATATAAATTATTAATATTAAATATAAATTTAATCTAAACTTGATATGATCCTACCCATAAATTCCTCTACACTAGTACAAGTAAGAAAACTCTCCAACCGTTTTTCTTTTTTATTTTTTGGTCCCTATAATAATGAAAAAGAAATTGTAATACACATTGGGTTAAATAAATATACGAAGATAATACTGGCTGTAAAGATTTTTCTTTTTATAGAATAAAAATAAGCTTGAATGATTGAAAAATTGGTACAGAAGAAATTTTCATGTGATGGATGCTGCCTTTGCTGCAGATTTGATTACATAGAGGATGGTGGGAAAACGTTGAAAGACATGAACCGTATGATTGCATTTTACAAAGGATTAACGACGTGGGCCAGGTGGGTCAACCGCAACGTTGATCCTTCCAAAACCAAGGTCTTTTTCCAAGGGATTTCTCCAACCCATTATGAGTAAGCAACTCTTCCATTAAATTTACATTTGCCTGTTCGTTTTTCTCCTTGCTTTATTATTGATCCCCTCAAATGCTTCTTTCTTCAATTGGCCCTTTGGCTATCCCAAATTCTTTTAACTTTATTATTATTATTTTTTAATTTTGGATAATTGTTGCTCACAATTAATTCAACAATTAATCTCCGGTGCACAAGTAATAATGATAACACAATTCTCATTTTGGTTCTTAAAAATATGAAGGCTAAAATAAAAGAAAAAGCTAAAAAATAAAGATAATTTATCTTGCATAATTAAATGGCAAGCATGCTTTGACATTTGATACCACTAGAAAAGAAGTGTGATCTTTAGCAATAAAAATTTTGTTTTTTCTGGAAAGTGCTACAAATAATTATGTTAAAAATATTTTAAACTATTTTTATGTGTAATTTTATCACAAAAAATAATGTATACCCCTCATTCGAATATAAAAATTTTTATCCTACAACATAGGCATGGTCAAAATTTATTTTTAGTGAGATTAAAAGTTAATATGGTATATTATATATATCACAATACACAAGTATATGGATATTAAAATTTTCATACATAACATTTAAATAATAAAGTTACTAAAAAAGATGCGAATAAGAAAAAGAAATAATATAAAGATATTGCTTTTACAATTATTCACGATGAGTTTTTACATTTTAAAACTATTGTATAATTGTTTTATTGTCAACACTTCCAAAGACATCTTTTTTAATGTATATAATCAAATAATCATTCATTAAATTATTACACATTCAATTTTGTAACTGATTTTTCACTATTTTTGTTACTAAAATAGTTATTTTTAACACTTGCGGTTGCAATTGACAAGATCAAAGCTAATTTAATTAGAAAAAAAACTAGTGAACAACCAAATCTTTCTTTGTTTTAATTTTTTTTTTTTTCAAGATAACCAACTCTCTTGATTTCCAAAAATACAATATTAGAGCGCATGTCGAAGATATGCTTCAAATGGACTATCAAGTGCCATAAGATCAATTGTTGAAAGCTTAAAAGGATAAAATTGAGAAAAATAAATTAAATTTTTTAATAAAAAATTGAAAATGAGTCACTTGGATTAAGGCATACTACATAAAGAAGCAACTCAATGTTAATCTTAGTGAAACAGTTATTGAGCTCTTGAAATTGTCTATCTATGATCATAAAAATAAGTAACTTGATAAAACCTTCTGGAATAAAATAGTCATACTTTATTGTTTTCTAATATTTTATCTAAAAAGATAAAAATTTAAACAAAAAACAACGTTCTTTACATGCTATTTAATCAATTATCAAACTTATTAAATAAATTTAGATTGAATTGATGTAACACATTTCTTATATTTTTTTTAGAAAAAGTGTCATAACGTTTATATCCATAAACCTATCACTAGATATAAACTTTAAGAGTCACCACTAATCTTTTTTGTTTAGATATGATTGATCACTTGATTGAATCTATCATATTTAAAGAGAAATCTCAAGATTGACTTAGGTATCTTTAAATAGTAAATTTTAGTCCACAAAATCAGATTTTAAGTTCAAGAGTACAGTTATGTATGAAGAAGATTGATTTCAAATTATTCAACTTGTAACTATATTTATGATTTACCAAAATATTTAATATTGAAAATTGATTTTAAAATTACTCTAATAGTTTGATAGCAATTTAAGATAAATCTCTCACCTTATGAGTATTCATAGATACTAATATCCTACTTTGAAGAGGCTCCGTCATCATATTCTTTTAATTTTGTTTTTAGAAATAAATATCTATAAACTGAGTTTATAGTCAGAAATGTCCTACAATCTGTTGGTAAGACTTTTCATTGAAAATTATTCTCCAATCTATTAGTAAATTTTTTTTTTAAGCAAAATTCATTAAGTTCTCCAATAATTTGGTAACATTTAATTCAAAATTAGATCCTTTAATAATTTGATAGGATTAAAAATATTTTTCTAAAACTTTTTTTTTTAAATTTGAAATAAAAGAAAATCAATTAAAATAAAAAAAATCATGCAAATAATACCATGCAATAATAATATATTATATCATGTAATAATCATATACCATGTAATAATATAATCATGCAAAATAAATATCATTTATAAAATGAAACATACTCACATAATCACGCAAATAAATATATTGATTATCAGGTAATTAAATATAATCATACAATCATGCAAAAATTAAATACTAAAAATAAGATAATAATAATAATAATAATAATAATAATAACAAGTTAAAAAAAGAAAAAAAAAATTAAAATAAAAAAAAAAAACTTACGATCAGGTTGGATTTAAAGTGCTGGTCACCTGGTTTACATGGGTCGACCCAATTGCCAAAATAACATCATTTTCAATATGTGTATAAAAGGTTCAGTCCCAACTTTTTTTTTTTTTTTCAATTTTCCACTTTCCTCTCTCTCTTTAGCCTTAGTTTTTTTGACCTCTCTCTTTAATCCCAAACAAAAAAATTTTTACGTTGCAAATCCCGACCAGAAAACTCAATTTTTGGCATCGTGAAATTCAAAAGGTTGCCGAAACCTGATGAACTCAAAAAGCAACAGCCTTAATCCCCCTCCGGTCACTGTGAAAAGCCATCTAAAAATTCAAACTTTAACTGGAATATTCAAGTAAACCTAGAAAAAAATAGTTTTTCCAGAAATTCAAACCTTAAATCCAGCAAGATTCAATAATTCCATAAATTCAAACTCAAACCAATATCTATTATAATCTAAAGAAACAAAAGTCCAAAATTATCCTAGAATTCTAGCCTAAACAAAAAAATCTACCCAAAATTAAAACATAAACCCAGAGGTATAAACCAAACCCAGAAGTTCAAAACCAATTTCAGCAACACAAAAAACTCAATCCCAGAAATTGTATGAATCAAAACCTAATAATAAAAAAAAAACCTAAAAGCAAACCCTAAAAAAAATCTAAACCCAAAAATTTCTATGCTCAAACAGTTGGAATTTGACTCTTGTCTCTGTCCCATATCACTAATTCCCAAAATTAAAAACCCAAAAAACTTCCCCAAGATTTCCAAAAACCACAAAATAAAAAAAAATCCCTAAAATCCTTATCTTTTGCGTGCGATTTGTTTTCTATTTTATAGAGATCAAAACCTCTTTAATTTTGAAAAAAATGAACATAATTTTTGAATTTAACTTTGTGATTTTTATTGTGATTTGATATGATTGATTCCTAAAATAAAATCTATGTTTTTGTTTTTTTATTGGGATTTCTAATTTCTTTCTTTTTTTTTCTTTTTTTGACTTTTTAAAAAAAGTAAAATTAAACAAAGAAAATAAATAAATAATTAAATCAAATTGAAATTGAAATTAAAAAATTTCTATTAGGCTCCAAACTTCCCAATCGGATCCAATTCACGATCAAAAATCTATTTCTGATCTCAAAAACAAAATGAGGTGCCTATAAAAAGTATGGTAACGTAGCTGATAAGGTCATTTTTGCAAGTATACCTATCGTACTTTATCTTAATTATTAGGATTATAATTTGTAATTTTACGACGAAATCTCGGATCCATAGAAAGAGCTTTTAAATCGATTTCAATATGAGTTGCCTTTGAGCTTTTGTTCATTAGTTTCTTGAGTGTAATATGGTTGCTTCAATTTGATTTTCCTTTAAAATACCTTTCCATTAACTAAATAAAAAATACATTTTTAATAAAAGCTAAAAATAGTATAATTATAATAAAAAGTTTAAGAATTATGACTAATTGAAATTATCAAAATAAAGAGACTAAAATTCAATATATTGTACTATATATTTTCCAAACAGCTGTTTCTTCGCTTACAAAATTAAAATTACTAAATCAATAATAAAAACAAATTTTACACATTTTTTTATCTCAATTTATCTAACATTCTAACCAATATTCAATTAATTTTGCAACATCCACAGATATTTAACATTTAATATTAAATATGATTTAATAATATAAATTTTAAGACAAAACAAAATTAAAATCATGATAAAAGAATCTAATATTCTAATTTATGTTTAAATAACTAATAATTAACATGAAGATAAAATTTATCTATTTAAAAAATTAGGGTTTGAAAAAGAATATAAATATATACCTTAAGTATTAACCTTTTCTTCTCTTTTGATCTTGGTTAAATACACTCATAAAAGTAATTTTTGAGACTTATTTATTTGTTAGATAATTTGATATTTAACATTAATGTCTCCCAAACCACTCTTTTAACTTATTTTTTTTTTTTTTTTCTCTTTCTTTCTCTTTATGTTTAAATCGAATAGGCTAGACAATAAAGGCTGTTGGCTACGAAACAACTTTTTGTATTCTAGCATAAAGCACAGGCAAGGGTGATAACTGGTTTTATTTTACCATTGTTTTTATTATTATTACTATTTTTTTACTTAAGTTTGGAACAAAGGAAAAAATAAAAGAAAATCACATATTTTGATTGATTCTTTTACTTTTTCAAATTATATTTTAGCCCAAAATCTATTTTTCAGTGTCATCAATTTTAACATTTCCCAATTTTATATATAATAAATGAAATATAAATTTCAATGGGTCAATTTCCTAAATTTTCCTAAATTTTTATATATAAATGAAATTTAAATTCTATATATAAAATTTAATGGAAGAATTTTCACATCTTTTGTGTATGCATTGCTAGAACAACACACACACAGATACATACATATATACATACATATATATATATATATATATATATATATAAAAAGGAGAGAACGATTTATATTAATGTAAGTCTTATACTTTTTTGATTATTAGATCAAAATAGCTAAAACTAAAAATATTATTTTAATTTAAATTAAAGATGAAATTAATTTTGATTCAAGCGTATAAAAAGTTGTAAGAATTATACTAATGTAAAATTAAAAAGTTTTACACTTTTTTTATCCTCATCCTTTGGAAGAAAGAGATTAATTAAAAAAAAAAAGTTTAATATTATCTTTTGGATCTATTGAAGTCAATGGTTAAAAAAATGTATAATTTTTTTAAATTTTATATTAATGTAAGTTAATCATTCTCATATATATATATATATATATATATATATATATTACAATTGCTATTCTTTGTTTCAAACATTTAATTCTAATGTTGATTGTGATGTGATATAATTATCTGATTTGTTGAGAGATGCATACAAATACAGGGGAAAGGATTGGAACGAGCCAACAAAATCATGTTCTGGACAGACACAACCATTCTTTGGCATTCGATACCCTGCAGGCACACCTATGGCTTGGGTTGTTCTGGAAAAGGTCCTAAGTAGGATTAAGAAACCAGTGTATTTGCTCGACGTTACTGCACTCTCTCAGTATCGGAAAGATGCACACCCATCAGCATACAGCGGCACACACAGTGGCAGAGACTGTAGCCACTGGTGTCTTCCAGGTTTGCCAGATACTTGGAACCAGCTCTTATATGCAGCTCTTTTTAGTTGAAGCAATGGAAGCTTAGGAGAAAATTAGCTCTAGGCAGCTAAAATTTGAATGAAAACCATTTGTTTTCTACCCTAACAAATTATCTTTTCGTTGATTATTAAGTGGGCAATAAGAGACATCATCATAATTCAATTGTAAATTTTAATTGGTTTCAGCATAAGTTCAAGAACTTCCCTTATTCATTAAAAAATCTTATCAGATTCTACCTTTATTAATTCCCTTTTGAAAATTTCTTATCCTTCAATACATTGTTAGAGTATATAACTGATTGATTAAATGCATTAAAATATTAAGTTATTTTGCTAAGATATATATATATATATATATATATTTCTTAGCATTTAAATTGTTTAATACTACATTAATTAATTTTTACATGGTAACCTAAAGTTTCCAACTATTATGGTTAAGCTAATCAATTGACTAATCATTATGATTAAGCTAATTAATTGATCTATTATTCATATTAAGGATTTTTATGAAGGATAATTGATTTTTTTAATAATTGAACATTTTATAATTGGTATATATAATTATATCCAATGTTAATGTCAAAATGGCCACATATTAGGGAAATTTCAAAAAAGTACCCTCTGGTATAAATTTTTATTAATTGGTCTAATAGTAAAATATAATTAAAGAAAAAGAAATGATAAATTGAAAAATTAATGAAAAGGAAATTGTTTTTGTTTTTGTACCCTGGTCACTGATCTATTCTTTCCTTGTTAAGAAACGTCTTATAGAATTTTTGTTTTTTTTTACATTCTTAAAAACACAGACACACCCTCCCTCTGCAATAGTGCATTTTAAGCATCAGAAATTCAATCTAATTTGATTCGATGGCCATAAGGGCAGTTGGGAAATTGTTTAGAGATTTCATGCGTTAAAGGGTAATTTCAACTTTCATTGGAGCTTCCAGGCATTGCTCTTCCGCTCTTACTTCTGCTCCTAAAACCCCTCATTCTTCAAAAAAGGGAATTTTTTTTCTACCTTAAAATAATCATGAAAGTGGACAAGAAAGGCATAGGGTAGTTAATCCAAAACAGAACCTTAAATGGATGAAAACCAAGTTCAAAAACTACTAAAAAAGATGCATGGAAAATGCATGAAAACCCGAACCATGGGCAGATGGTCATTTGAGGTAGAAGGGACCTTCCCCCCAAAATTTTTTTTTTAAAAAAACCCTTAAGGGACGTTTGGTTCACGGAATTATAGATTTTGAAAAAAGTGTCATTCTTGGAAAACTATGATACTCGGAGTTTTATTTCATTTTCAGAACATCCTGTGCTTAGATTCACTCGTTTGGTTGAGAGGAATTCACATATATTAAATCTTGAATAATTACTATATATACGATGGTTGTTAACCATTTAAAAAATATAAAATGATTATTTAAAGTATTTTTGATCCAACAAGAGCCTTAAATAATCTCATTTTAAATATATCAGCGAATTTTTTAACATCTTAAACAATGCCCTTTAATTTTTTTTAAAATGTATTAGCGAATTTTTTAACGTCTTAAACAAAAACGCCTTAAATCATCCCCTTTAAAACGAATCAGTGGATTTTTTAAGGTGTTTTTAAAAACACTTTAAATAATACCCTTCAATTTTTTTATTTGGCTTATATAAGGCAATTTTAGACAAAAACGCCTTAAATAATCACTTTTAAAATGTATCAGTGGATTTTTTTAAATAATGCCTTTAAAAAAATTGAAGAAGATTATTTGAGGTATTTTTAGTTATTTAAGGCATTTTTTGTCTAAAAATGCCTTAAATAATCTTTTTTATTACTTATAAGATTTAAGAGATAAAATAAAAAAATTTGGAGTAGCTCAAAAAATGCCTTAAATAATACCTTTCAAAAAATTGAAAGAGATTATTTAAGGCATTTTTAGTTATTTAAGACATTTTTTTGTCTAAAAATACCTTAGATAAACTCTTTCATTACTTATAAGATTTAAGAGATAAAATAAAAAGAAATTGGATAGCTCAATCGGTTAGAGAATATGGCTATTAACTATAAGGTAATAGGTTTGATTCTTACTTCTAGCGTTTTAAGGGTTTTTCAAGGGATTATTTAAGGCATTTTTTGTCCAAAAATGCCTTAAATGAATGGTTTATTTGAGGCGTTTTGGGACAAAAAATACCTTAAATAATCCCTTGGAAAACGCTTAAAACACTAGAAGAAGGGATCAAACTTACGATCTTATGATTAATAGCCATATGCTTTAACTAATTGAGCTACTTCAGTACTTTTATATTTTATCTTTTAAATCTTATAAGTAATGAAAGGGATTATTTAAGACGTTTTAAAACCAAAAACACCTTAAATAAGCCCTTTCAAAATTGAAATGTATTATTTAAGGCATTTTTAGATTAAAAATGCCTTAAAAAATTCGTTGATATATTTTAAAAGAGATTATTTAAGGTATTTTTGTCTAAAAATATCTTAAATAATCCAAATAAAAAAAATTGAAGGGTATTATTTAAGACATTTTTAGAGTAAAAACACTTTAAAAAATTCACTAATATATTTTAAAGGAGATTATTTAAGGTTTTTTTTTATCTAAAAATGCCTTAAATAAGCCCTTTCAAAATTGAAAGGTATTATTTAAAGCATTTTTTGTCCAAAAACTCCCTTAAATAAGGGATTAAATAATCTCCGTAAAAAAATCAAAAGGGAATATTTTAATGTGTTTTTGGTCTGAAAATCCCTTAAATAATCCTCTTCAAAAAATCGAAAAGGTAGCGACTATTTCACAATTTTTTATTTAGGTAAAATTTGGACATAACGTTACTTTTTCCCTCAAAATCCTAGAATACCGTAATGAGAGGTGGGTTTTTGATTCAGGACTTTAGGTGTTATTGAGAATCTGTCAGTTTTCCTCAAAATTAGATTATCCTAAACCAAACATTGAAATCAAATACCTAACAATAAAATTATGGGGGAAAATGTGTGGATTCCCCCGAACCAAATGCCCTTTTAAAGTTATATTTTTACTTGAAGTTATAAAACAATTATATTTAACAACTTATTTTTTTATACTTTTTTTATAACTTCATGTAGGATTTTAGACTCATTTATAATTTATGTAGGATTAATATTTTTACAAACCAACCATTATATTTAACAACTTATTTATATATATATTATACATGTAAATTTTCAATATTTTATAATTTTGATTTTTATATATTCATAGAATAAATCTTATAAAGAGCAAAAAATATATATAATATTAATTGACCCCCTAAAATTGATTGTCATCATCCATTACTCCAAAACTGCATCTAAATTGTTTAATCAAACATGTACAAACATAAACTAATATCATTTTTATCAACTCAAAAACACAATAACAGCACATAAACATAAACAAAAAATGCAAGGCAGTATTTGAAATAAAATTTGGGTAATAAATCAAACCAAACCACACAAACTTGAAATGAAATGAACAATAAAAGAACCAAGTCCTCTAGGCCCCCATGGAAAATTTCTCAAGCAAAGGTCACCTTGGACTGCCATTTTCTTGCAAACATAAGCTTAAACATAAGGCAAAATAAGGTTGGATATAAAATGAACTAGAGCTAGTAATAATCAAACATGGAAGATAAAATTTCATTGACAAAAATTGAAAGGGAAACGGGAGTAAACTTTAAATCTAGGCTAAATACAATAAAACAAACTTGAAAGCATAAACAAAGCTCAAGTAAAACATGAAAAACAAAGCTTAAAATGAGCCAAAGAAGTTACGGCAAGTTACCAAGAATGCTGTCTGCTAGTAACGTCACAACCAGGCGAAGACATAAAAAGAAAAATGAAAAATAAAAAGCTAAATAATGAAGGTTACGGCTCTCTTGTTATTCTCCTAAAATTTACTATATAAAGCTTAGTTGTAGGCCTTTAAATGGCCAATCAAGGGCTTCTGTTGATCAATCAAAGCCTTCCAAAAAGTCAACTAGCTTAAAAAAATTTGCTACTGGTAGAAGATTGCAAACCGTGACCTTTTGTTATGCCATTCTCCCTCATGTGATACATGATGTGAAGGAAATTATGTATCAATATAATTATGTATCAATATATAGTGTTAAAGCAACAAAATTTTAAAATTCTTAATTTCCTAAAGCTAAGATCAATTAATAAGATCATACAAACACACAACACATATAAGTTACATGAGTTTTAGCTATGGTCTGTACCTTGTATGCCGAAATTGCTTTACTTCAAGTTATTGATCTTCCAAGTTGTTTCCCAAGCTACAAAGCTACTTAAACGTGTAGCCTCTAATGGTAATCCATATGAACTCTTGTGAAAAAACCTTTTCTAAAGTAAGAAAGAACACAAACCACACTCTAACTAGTGAGTGTTTATAAAGCCTCTTGTTTTTCTCTTAAGTTTTTGCTTAAAGTTGCTCTTAGCTTATTTTACATCAAATATGCCTTGTGTCTTGCAAGAGGAGTGGTGACTTAATGTTCTTTTTATAAAGAGACATTCAACCACATTAGGTTAATGCAAGACATGTATATTTCCATATGTATCCCATTTTAGGCCGAATGCATTAAACAAGGAAAGTCTCTTTCTTATTTTTTATTTTCTCTAGTTTTGGTCATATCAACTAATTTGTCTCAATTTTAATATTTCACTATTGTCCTATTATGTGTGATTCATTAGATTTCTTAGCATGCTGGCAATAAAAATAAGTGTTGTAAATCTTTACATTTGATTATGGATGAATCAAACCTTTTGACTTTATCATTAATTCTCCAATTAGCCAAGCTTATGTTTATAGATTATGATTAGCTACATGGTCATGACCCTCAATTGCTAAAGAAAAGTCAATATGGCTTGATAACCTATTTGTGAATGGTCTTAGTGTATAATTAATATCCTTTCATTACATAGTATCTCAGTTTGGACATTGAGTATGGTTTAGTGTCTACTCAATCTTATTTAACCATATTTAATTTTGTCCTTAACATTAACTCACAAAGAAGCTTTAAAGCAATTCTAAACTCTTATTTCACTTTGGCCAAATATTTTTCAAGTTAATTTAATCAAGACTAGTTAAGATACTCTTTTGATCACACAAAGTGATTAATAACATCTTGATCTTCATTCATCTTCATATGTCTTATGTTATACCTAACAATACTCAACTAGAGCATT